TGTAGGACAGGTCTGGGGTTGATGAAATCCCTCACCTTTTGTTTGTCTGAGAAAGTCTTTATTTCTCTTTCATGTTTGAAGAATATTTTTGCAGGATATACTATCCTAGGGTTAAGGTTTTTTTCCTTCAGCACTTTGAATATGTCATGCCACTCTTTCCTGGCTTGTAAGGTTTCCACTGAGAAGTCTGCTGCCAGGCGTATTGGAGCTCCTTTATATGTTATTGTTTTTCTTTTTTCTTGCTTCCCTTAGGGCTTTTTCTTTATCTGTGACCTTTGGAAGCTTGGTCATTAAATGCCTTGAGGTGCCTCGTTTGGGTTAAATCTGCTTGGTGTTCTATGACTTTCTTGTACCTGAATATTGATATCTTTCTATAGGTTTAGAAAGTTCTCTCATTATTTTTTTAAATAAACTTTCTACCCCAATCTCTCTCTCTACCTCCTCTTTAAGGCCAATAACTCTTAGATTTATTCTTTTGAGACTATTTTCTAGATCTTGTAGGTGTGCTTCATTCTTATTTTTTCTTTTTTCTCTTCTGACTGTGTGTTTTCAAATGGCCTGTCTTGAAGCTCACTAATTCTTTCTTTTGCTTGGTCAATTCTTTGTTTTTTTTAAACCATAGTTAAATTAGTTTATTGATTTTTGTATTTCAGGATATTATGAGGGTATAAACATTTTGGTTACAAGTTATGACTTTGCCTCACCCAAGCCAGGATTAGAAGCGTGCGCTTGGTCAATTCTGCTATTGAGAGACTCTGATGCATTTTTCCATTTGTCAATTGAATTCTTAAGCTCTAGAATTTCTGCTTGTTTTTTTGTATTATTTCAATCTCTTTGTTAAATTTCTCTGATAGGTTCTGACTTCCTTCTCTGTGTTGTCTTGAACTTCATTGAATTTCTTCAAGACAGCTATTTTGAATTCTTTGTCTGAAAGGTCACATATCACCATCATTCCAAGATTGATCACTGGTACCTTATTTAGTTGGTTTGGTGAGGTCATGTCTTGCTGGGTGTTCTTGACACTTATAGATGTTTGTCAATGTCTGGGCATTGAAGAGTTAGGTATTTATTTTAATCTTCAAAGTCTGAGAGCCCTGGAAGTTTTAAAGGCAAGTTCTGGCACATGTTCAAGTGATATATGAACCTAATTTTATATAAAGTGTTCCAAATAATCCAAAAAAAGGGAATGCCCTCAAATTCATTTAAGATCGTTAGTATAATTTGATAAAAATGCCAGAGAAAGAAGGTTGAAGAAAGAAAAGATATAGGCTGATTTCACTTATGAAGAGAGATATGAGGAGCCTTGGTACATTGGCAAAGCATATCCCATGTGTACCAAAAAACAAACAAACAGAAACTCTTAGCAAATAAGGTTTTAAAAAAACTTCTTAGTAAAGGATATCTTCTAAAAATTTATAGCAAACATCACACTTCATGGTGAAATAGTAGATATAATCTCCCTAAAATGATAAATAAGACAATGATGCCCACAATTACCACTTCTCTTCACATGGTACTAGGTGTCCTAGCTAGTATTATATGATAAGATACGAAAAACAAATATAAAGTTTAAAAATTGGTAAGGAGTAAACAAAGCTGCTGGTGTTCATAGATAATATAATATTACTGTCTACATAGAAACTCCAAAAGAAAGTACAAAGTATGATGTAAATTCATATAAGAGTTTATCAATTTTGTGAAATAACAAAAAGGTTAAAAGGAACTAAAGCAATTTTTAAAGATATTAAGACTTATTTTTAAATTATGGTAATGAAAACAGTGTAGTATTAGACCAATGAAACAAATAAAGAGCACAGAAACAGACTTCACGTATGGAATATTAATGTGACAAAAGTAAGCACTGCGAGTCAAAGTAGGAAAGGATGATCTGTTCAATATTTGATCTTACGGTGATTTGTTACCCATATGAAAAAAATGGAGCCCTATTTATCCCACCATAACAATAGACCAGTTTCAGGTGGACTAACAGTTTGATGCGAAAGCAAAACTTTAAACTTTTAAGAGAAATCATACTAACTATGTTCATGAGTTTGCAGTAGGAAAGGATTACCTGTACAGAGCACATAAAATACAGATCATGCAGGATGCCAGATTTGACTACAAATAAAATATATCTATGCATCGAAAGTTATGACAAACAAATGGAAAAGTTATAGCACAGCCCGGGAGAAAGTATTTGCAATGCATATATCTAACAACTGAAACAGCATTTCACTTAATCGTCACAGCAACCCTGCGAGGTAGGTGTTTTATGTCGATCTTATAAATGTGGAAACTGAGGCTCAGTGAAGGTAATAAATTTGCTCATAATTGTGATAGACTGAGATTCAACCTAGGTCTTTTGTCTTCTGAAGCTCCTTTTAATCCCTCCCTTACAGCTCCTTGCATAAACACGGAGCATGGCTGGGTGGTCACAAAGGGGAGGGGCACAAGAACAGAGCATCTGGTACAATAGAGAAGCAAAGAGAGAGCCCTCACTATGAAAGAGAAGTGAGATTTCGGGATGATGGCAGTGTAACCAGACCAGGTGAAAGCAGGTCAGACGGCTCCAGGAGCGATGTCTTCAACAAGATGAAATTTTAAAGTCTGCTGTGTTTGAATTTGAGAGGAAATTCAGACAATAGTGTAGAACGTATGAAGATGAATTAGTAATAAGTACATAAAAAACTAAGGGACTAAGGTAGGTGGAAATTATATTCGGTCTCTACAGTGTGTGTCCATCAGTAAGGGAGTGAATAAATAAACTGTGGTATATCTAGGGAATGAAATTCTATATAACAGTTAAAAATGAGAGAGCTCCAATGATTCTTGTATCATCATAGATAAATCTTTAAAAATAATGTTGAGTGAAAAAAACCAAATTGAAAAAAGTGAAACATACTTTAATATATATTAAATATAAGAACAACATAATACTATATATTATTTTCCAATAGACACATATTTGGTAAAGAGAACATAAACATGGAAAGAATACACACTAACTTCAGAAGACTGTGTACTGGGGAAGAATGGATTGACACAAACATAGCAAAAAGTTAAAATTTGTTAAAT